CTCCCGCCATGAACGCCATCCGCAGCGCGTTTGTGGGCAGAACGCGGCAAGTTTTGTGTTCGTACAGCGCTTGCTGTAATGGCTCCGAACCCAGCGGGGGGCTTCGTGCGCCACCGAATGTAAGTGTTTCCAAATAGCGCTAAGAATTGCTGTGAAAAAGCCTGCTTCACGCTTACATGTACTCTAGGGTTAACGATCCCTTTACCAGCGAAAGCATCCGCGCTATTTCCTGAGGTCCCCCCAAATGATAAGGTCAAACCGGAGGAGACCCAGTTGCACGGGCATAAAAAATACCAGCTCTCTCCTTGTCTCACCCTTCGTGTCTCGCAATGAACCAGCAGCCAATGTATTTCTTCTCGAAAGCACAGGAATCGATGAAGCAAAGGATAACTGTCTCGTGCCAATCGCTACCAAACCCAGTACCAAACGTGGGCAGCAGGTAGTTTCCATCTGCAGCAACGTGGCTTTCATTGCAGCAAGAGGACAAGCCAAAGGGTGCCACCCCCCCCTCCCCCCCCAGTCTGGGAGAGCGTGTTTGCTCCGTAACTGCTGATCAAAAGAATGTGGAAATGAAATGACCTCTCGGTTATGGGAACAGCATGCAAACCATTTAGACACAATTTTGAAAAATTCATTAGAAGAAAATGTGTTTACTGTCTCGGACAGTCCAAATGAAGAAGGCACGCAGGCCATGCCACGGTAAAAGGTGGGCACATTCAAAGGGAATTAAGAGTGTCAGCATTCATTACATCCATCCTCATCTGCGTCCTCCTGCAGGCTAAATGCTATTATCAAGACAAGCCGCGGACACTCTGTATCTCTGTAAACAGCCGAAGCCATTGCTTCCCAGGATTTCTGAAACACGAATCTCAGAATAGTTTAATTTGGAAGGGACCCATGGAGGTCAGGTCTGGGGCATCTCTCTGGTCCCACCACCTGCTCAGAGCAGGGACAGCATCAACCGTGCAAAGGTTTTCCTCGGGATCTCGTTCAGTCGACTCTGAGTATCTCCAAGGGAGGAGGTTAGACAGCCTCTCTGGGCAACCTGCGCCTGTACTTTGCCCTCAACTGTAAAGATTTTTCCCTTTTATCTAGTTGGACTTTCATAGAATCATAGAATCATTAAGGTTGGAAAAGACCTCTAAGATCATCGAGTCCAACCGTCAACCCAACACCACC